GTTGGGGGTCCCAGGGTGGGCCAGGCTTCCCGCCGTGAGGGGATAGCGGGCTGTCGCAGGGCAAAGTGCTAACCATGACAGAGAGCCCAGCCCCGGCTCCGGCTGCCAAGCCCAAGTAGGTCAGGGTGCCGTGGCAGCCAGCGGCCCACCCCACCTACTCGGACATGATCATAGCAGCTATCCATGCCAAAAAGAGCCACAGTGGCTCGTCCCGCCAGTCCATCCAGAAGTACGTGAAGAGCTACTACAAGGTGGGCCAGCATGCTGACACCCAGATCAAGCTCTCCATTCGTCGCATGCTCGCTGGCGGAGTCCTCAAGCAGACCAAAGGAGTCGGCGCCTCCGGCTCTTTCCGCTTGGCCAAGGCTGCAAAGGCAAAGAAGTCACCTGCTAGGAAGAGGAAGAAGGTGGCCAGGAGATCCGTGTCACCTCGGAAAGCAGCTACACCCAGGAAAGCCAAGTCGCTGGCAAAGAAGCCCAAATCTGCCACCAGGAAAGCCAGGAAGAAGTCAAGGGCCAGCCCAAAGAAAGCCAAGAAGCCAAAGACTGTTAAGGCCAAGTCGCTGAAGGCGTCCAAGCCCAAGAAGGCAAAGCGGTCAAAAACCAAAGCCAAGTCCAGCGCCAGGAAATCGCCCAAGAAGAAGTGAGAAGTCTAGAGGCATTTTAGTACTCTCCCCGTTGGTTTCTGTAAATAGCTTTTGCCTTTTATTCCTGTCTGGAAATAGCTACAACAAGGCAGCTAATGAAAGAAAAAAGGAACATCTTTGGTAGGGAGAGTTCCCATTTCTAAGAGTTACTGGTCTGGGGTTTTATTTTGATGTCTCAGAATTTATTGAGTGTGTCTATTGGGTTTTTTTTAATGCTGGGCTGCTTGTTGTGTGTTAGGAGTGATGGTGACTCTGTGTCTCTGTCAAGGCCATACAGGATTTAAATTCCTGATCCTTCCCCAGCTCCCGGTGGGTTGTGTGTTTGCTAAGGCTGGCCAAAGACTCTGCCTGTGTCCAAGGGGTAGTGGAAACATACAGTTGCAACAGCCACAGCCCTCCAAGGAGGAGGAAAAGGGGCTCCCTTCTCCCTCCTCCACCACTCTGGCAAGCTGTGCTGGGCTGCTGGGTGTGAGGTCTGGCTGGTGCTGGAGATAACCAACCAGCCAGGCAGGTGATGGGGCTGCCCACCCACCTGTGGAGCTGCCACTGCTCTGCTGGGTGGTGGCAGGAATGGGGTGGAGGAGGTGCAGTGGGATCAGGGTCCATCCATGTTTGCTTTCAAGGAGCTGGAGGTGTCCAGCAAGCAAGAAGGGGTTGATCCCTGGGGAGAAAGGAGAAACATGGCTATGAATGGCTTTGCTCCCTGGGGAGGAACTGGCCCCAGCATGGCAGTGGGCAGCTCTGCAGGCAGGCTGGGGAAAGCAGGACTGCTGAGCACACCCCTGCTGTCACCTCAGGGCTCTGGCTTTGTGCCCAGTGGGGACTGGCATGACTCCAGGGCCTGCCTGGCCCCTGCCAGAGGCCCTCCCCAGGCAGAGATGTGTGGTCCTGACAGCAAGGGCTGGTTAGGAGTCTGTGAGCAAGCCCTACAGCTCAGGAGGATCTGAGCCTCAGGCACAAGGTGCCCAAAGTCCCTTGGCTAGAGACATCTAAACTCTTTGGATGTCAGGATCCCCAACCACATGGGCCAGGAGCTCCAAAACCCCAAGGGCTGTGGGCGTCCAGTCCCCTTGGCCTTGCTGTGCCTAAATCTTGTGGGCCCAGCATCTTCACACTCCCTAGTGTGAGTGGCTTAGATGGGCACACGCTTTGCTGGGTAAAAACCTGGCTGGATGGCTGGGCCCAGAGAGTTGTGGTGAATGGAGTTAAATCCAGTTGGCAGCTGGACATGAGTGGAGTCCCCCAGGGCTCGGTTTTGGGGCCACTCCTGTTTAACATCTTTATTGATGATCTAGACGAGGGGATCGAGTGCACCCTCAGTCAGTTTGCAGATGACACCCAGTTGGGTGGGAGTGTTGATCCCCTCGAGGGTAGGGAGGCTCTGCAGAGAGACCTGGACAGGCTGGAGCCATGGGCTGAGGCCAACTGCAGAGTTTCAATAAGGCCAAATGCCGGGGGCTGCCCTTGGGCCACAACAACCCCCAGCAGCGCTACAGGCTTGGGGAGGAGTGGCTGGAGAGCTGCCAGTCAGAGAGGGACCTGGGGGTGTTGATTGACAGCCAGCTGAACAGGAGCCAGCAGTGTGTCCAGGTGGCCAAGAAGGCCAATGGCATCCTGACTTGTGTCAGCAATAGCGTGGCCAAAAGGGACAGGGAAGGGATCTTACCCCTGTACTCGGCACTGGTGAGGCCGCACCTTAATTCCTGTGTTCAGTTTTGGGCCCCTCACTACAAAAAGGACATTGAATGACTCGAGTGTGTCCAGAGAAGGGCAACGGAGCTGGTGCAGGGTCTGGAGCACAGGTCGTACGAGGAGCGGCTGAGGGAACTGGGGGGGTTTAGTCTGGAGAAGAGGAGGCTGAGGGGAGACCTCATCGCCCTCTACAGCTACCTGAAAGGAGGTTGCAGAGAGCTGGGGATGAGTCTCTTTAACCAAGTAACAAGCCATAGGACAAGAAGGAATGGCCTCGTTGCACCAGGGAAGGTTTAGACTGGATATTAGGAAGCATTTCTTTACAGAAGGGGTTGTTGGGCGTTGGAATGGGCTGCCCAGGGAGGTGGTGGAGTCGGGCTGACATAGTGCTGAGGGATCTGGTGTAGTTGGGAACTGTCTGTGTGAGGTTAATGGTTGGACTGGATGACCTTCAAGGTCTTTTCCAGCCGAGATGACTCTGTGACTCTGTGCCCTGCGAGAGCCCGACGGGCAGGGGG